GTTATTTGCTGTATATTTTAATACACTAAAACTTCAAAAATCAAACAGTATGGTTTGTAACCTGTCTCCTGTCTTGAACCAACTTTCTTTACAGGAAATGCAACTGTTTTCATAAATAATTGCCAAGGTGCTAATCTCAATAACATAAGTTTGACCTGAATGCTTTTCAAAGGCCAATGCTAAGTAACAAAGCTGTGATTATTTTGACACGTATTCATTCAGGTCACTGAGCTGGAAATCTAGGAGCCTTCATAGCAAGGATGCTACAGCTCTAATAATAGATGCACGATTCTGGTAAAACACTTGTTACAGTGAGCTTTATATTTGTTCTTTTCCTCATTTATTATTAAACTACAGCCTTTAATGTCTGCTGAATGGCGTAATGCATGCTTGACCTCTAATCTACGTGGCAAAAGCTGTGTATCAGCCAGCCAGCCTGTCTGCAGCATTATCTTTAGGCTTTAGGTTTTGTCTGGAGAAACGTATCACATTTCCTATTGCTGAGTAAGGGCTGAGTTCTACCCTCAGTAAAGTGAATAGAATTCCCTTTGAAGCCAGGGGCTTCAGCAGAGGTGGCAGAAGAATGTAGTTCTCTACTGTACAACATTTCTTGTTAAACTACTGATGCAACTAATCTGGTCTGAATGGCTGGAAGTAAATATACTGTGGAAAACACGTTCACAACTTAGTGTTGTTCAAGAATGCCAATCATTTGTGCCTTAAAAGATTTATCTGTAAAATATACTACACAATCCTGTTGATAAAATGTGCAATGATTTCCCTTTAAGGGGGAATATTTCTGTTTGATTTAACAATCCTTGCTAAATAATACTTCTCAGGTCCCGTCTTGTTTCCCCTGAAGGCAGTTGCAAACCTCACATTGACTTCACAGGGAGCAGAATCCTCCCAGTCCATTTTCTAAATCAGATTTGGAAGGACTATTTTTGTTTCTCATTGTATCTGATACCAGTTTTTCCTGTAAGAATGACACATTTGGTGTTGATACATCACAATGCTTTTTTTTTATTTCATACCAAAATCTCATTGTTGTTTGACAACAAAGTACTACCACTTTCATTCTAACAGCCAGGAGAGCAGTAGTATAAACATTTGTATTGCTTTTTGTTTCACAACATCTTATTCCATTTGATACTCCTGATCACCATCTTGCTGTTAGCCATATTTCCCCATTTATTTATTTATTTCATTTAGATGAAATTCACTCCAGTGGAAAGATCCAGGCTAAAGACTAGCTTCCCTTTTTGCCCTGGGGCCCAATTTGTGGTTCTTTCATTTGAGGATTGCTGGAGAGGAAAAAGGTGGAGGAAACCTTTCTAATCCCTGACCACCCCTGAAGAGATTGGGCATTAATAAACTACAGGTTGATGTGTCAGACAATACAGGTTTCCAAAGGGTCTATTTCTAGGAAACGGGCTATATAAATATTTAGGGCCAAGTCTTCAGCTGATGAAGTTAGTGGTTACTATGCCAGTTCATGCCAGCTAAAGATTTAGGCCACAGCCTGAGTAATCACAAACCAAAATGTATTTCACAACTTTGGGCCCACTCCCACAGTCCATGTTTAGGTACGACACAGCTCCCATTGATTCCATATTAGCAGTGAGAGTTTCTCCTGAATAAAACTACAGACTGGGGAGTCTTTAAGAAAAATCAATATTAGTTACCTGTGATTCATAGTTATAATTTCAGAAACCAGAATTTTTTACTGTCGGTGCCGGTTTTTTTTTTTTTTTAAACTTGACCCTGTTATTGTATTCTGTCTTAAAGTGAGATTTTTTTAAAGAATTGCCTTCTTACTAAATAGTTTTTAA